CAGTCGACTCGAGTCGATATCTCAGGTCGACTGAAGAGGTCTCGCAGTTCATAGATCTCGACAGCTCTGATACACTTCAGCGTATCGAGGGATAAGAAGGAAGCTAAGGAAGGATCTAGATGCTGACTAGAAAATGGACAGAATGCGAACCGACCAGGGTATTTTGGATATTTCCAGTAAGTCGGTCGGGGCATTTTGGGGACTTCAGGTAAATGTTTCACTTCTATATAAAGGAGCTGAGGTAATCCCAAAACCCTAACTCTCATTCATTCTACATTCTTCTCCATTATTGTTGCTGCTCTCTGAGAGTGGCTCTCTTCATCTCTTTCACATATTGACTTGAGCGTCGGAGGCTCTACGCCGGAAACCCCTCCGGCGTTGAGTTCTTGCAGGTGTTCTTGCGGTTCAACAACGGTTCGGAGGCCATCAAGTCAGATCTGAGCTCATTCGCACCTGTTCATCCCAGATCCGGACGATTTCTCATCGGTTCGTTCCAGATCTGAGAAGAGACCCATCATTTTGGCGCCGTCTGTGGGGAGTTCTTGAAGGAATTAAGAGCTTTACACCTAGTTTGGATCTATTTCCAATGGCTGAAAATGAAGGATTGCAGAAAAACTTGAACGAAGATTTCAAGGCAGCATGGACTGACAAGCGACCTCCGCCGAGTCCCAACCCCAAACCACCGCTCCAAGTGTTCGGTTTCCCACCGTTTGGGGCACACGCGCCGTCAGGAGGGCGTATGGGGGAGGAGACGCCTATCCCCCCACCGGGGGTCAAGATCCCAGTGCTCACTCAAGGGGAGGCCAGTCACGTGAAGAGCACGAGCGGAGAAGTTAACGGTCGCGAGCAAACCGAGACATTCCTAAGTCTGGGAAAGCAGCCTGGACCGCTCGAGCAGGGAAAGAGACCGCCGCCGCAAATCGAAGAGCAAATGTTAACCATGACACGGAGCGAGATGCAGACGATGATTGCTGAAGTTGTAGCGGCCCAAATCAAACAAACACCAGTCGAGCAACCCAGGGTCGAACAACCCCGGATCGAGCAAGCTAGGGTCGAGAAGCCTCAAAATGAACAACAACCCCCTGAACGCGAGCAGCAGGCGCAGTCACATGAGAGGCAGAACAGGAGGATAGATGAAGAGGAGTCCTCTGTCAGAACTGTTAATCCACAAGCCAGAAACGACACCCTAGAGCAGCTGTTAGCGTAGGTCCGAGACTTGCAGGCTCGAGTGGAAGGAAGGAAAACGGAAAGCTCGAGGGGACACCCTTTTTCACAACATATTCTAGACGCCGATTTGCCTCAAGGGTTCAGGGAGCTCAACATCTGGTATGACGGGTCGACTGATCCCTCTCGACATCTAAGGAGCTTTGAAAACATGGCAGTACTGCACCGTTACAACGATCCCGTTCAATGTCGAGCGTTCCTGACGACCCTGCGAGGACCAGCGCAGGATTGGTTTCATCAATTGCCCCCAGGAGCCGTCAGGGACTTTGACGGATTTATCTCAAGTTTTCTAAACCAATTCACAAGCGTAAAAGCCCAAGAAAAGTCTTACCTTACTCTGATAGGTATGCAACAGAAAGAAGGGGAATCATTGAGGGATTATGTTGCGAGGTACACACGGGCATGCATCGACGTCCCCTCTGCCACTGAAGAAATCAAGTCGGGAGGACTCACTCGAGGACTACTCCCAGGGTTATGCAGAAACTCCCTAGCAAAGCGACCCGGGAGGACGTTCGATGAGGTGTTAGGAAGGTGCGCCAAATACATGAATGTTGAAGAAGCTGAAGCTGACTTTTTGCAAGCAACTAAAGCAAAAACTGAGCCTCGGGACGAGAAGAAGGATAAAAAACCAGTCGCGACGACTGAAAGGAAAGGATCCTCGAGGTCTAAAAGAGAAGGACGATCAAGGGGATGGAGGGCGACTCAATATACTCCCCTGTTAGCTTCGAATGCAAGGATACTGGAGGTAATGGAGAAAGAGATCTGTGACAATATTGTCAGGTGGCCACGGACGAGAAAAGATGGGCCGGCAAAACCTAAAAGCGATCTGTATTGCCGATTCCACAAAGACTACGGCCATAATACCGATGAATGTCGACACCTAAAAAATGAGATTGGGAGACTAATTAAAGCAGGCTATCTGAAGGAATTCATTTATAAGGATCGAGAGCGAACCAATCGACGAAGGGAGAGAAGCAAAAGCCCTCACAAGAGAGCGAGGACACCCGACAAGGAGGAGCTCCCTCAGAAAAGAGGAGTAATTCATATGATATTCGGAGGGCTGACTGATGGAGATTCAAATCGGGCCAGAAAGGCATATGCTCGAGGGCACCATGGAAAAATTGAAGTGCAACAGGTCGAGGAAAATGGTGCAGTGATGAATTTTAGACCAGCAGACATGGGAGAAGTCGAGAGACCTCACAACGATGCCCTAATGATCACAGCTCAGATATCGGGCTATGAAGTACAAAGAATCTTTTGTCGACACGGGAAGCTCGGTGAACGTGATTTTTTACAATTGTCTTAAG